AGATACTGAAAAAGTTCCTTCAGATCATCTCTTTAATTATATATCCCTTTAATAATATCTATTGAATTTCTATGTAATTTTATATTTTTGTGAAAGTAATATTTGTATGTATTTTATTCATTCTTGTATCTCTGAAATCATCAATACATACAGTCTTAGTTACATTATATTTGGGTAACTCAGCATAGAAGCATCAAGTGAAAAAATATTTTTCTTAATCTCTGTATTATATGTATAGGCTGGTTTACCTGGAGATACGTGGAGATACTGCGTAGAAAGGGAACAACTGGCTGAAAGGTCGGAATGGTTCCGTGCGATGCTCATCGGTCCTTTGGCACCTGCACCAAGCGATCCTCCACCCGTGTTGAAACTGCAACACATAGAGAAAAGAGCTTTCGATTATTTACTCAGGTAAATACAGAATCCTCGATCGATCGAGTTGCCGACAGTTACGTCAATATTAAAAAAATTTATATGAAGATACGATCTGTTCAACTATTGTACGATTTTTCATATTTCGATCGATTTACAACTCTCATCAAGTAATGCCGATCATATCCCCGAGGCTCAAGTATTGTTAAAAAAAAAAGTCGTAGTGCCATTATGGCAACATCTTTGTACACACTGACGATAATCGGTACCATCGCTTATTTCTGGATTCTTACTTTAATTACGCTTCCGTTGATAATCTGTTGCAAGCAAAGAATGACGAGACCTCGATGTCCGAGAAAAAAATGTTGTAGATGTAAATTTCAGAAGAAGCCTTAAAGGTTTGTCCAAATCCAAATTAGAGCAAATCTAATCAAGAACGAGAGCAAACGTCTAGCAAAGAATCTTTCACCTAACAATAGCACCAAAAAGATAGAAATTAAGGAAGTTCAAGGGAATTTAATGTCCTGCAATTTGTTTTTTCAATGAAAGAAGAGAAAGAAATGGCACATGGTTGAACGAGCGCAGCTAAAAAGTATGGTTAATAATTCAGGCAACTGTTTCTTTTCTTTTCTTTTTTTTTTTTTTTTTTTTTTTCCTCTACATCGACTCGAAGTTTGTTTGACCGTTTTTGTGCAGATACGTTCTCGATGAGCCGATCAATTTTCAATCTGTGACTACAGCCCGAACAACCCTCGACGCGGCTCATCAGTATCTCTGTCCAGAATTGGCAAGACTGGCCGTTGAATACCTCGAAAGGAATTTAAACTCGAACACCGTGCTCGAAATCTACCAGGGACTCAGTCTTTACGCGAACCACGTAACTTCTAGTTTCAACTCACCCACGGCTCCTCCGGCCCCCGATGACGATGCTGGTGAAATAGGTATTGTCATTGAATTGCATTTTTTAAATCTTAGGGATACGTCATTAATTTTATTAATTTAATATCGTTCTAATGTTAAAAAGAGTTCTAATCCTCAAAAGAGTGATTTTTTTTTTTTAAATTGTCATTGGTCGAATTAAGAAGAAGTGAAGAATCACACCCAGAAAAACAGTTATCGCCACTCCTTAATCAACTTATCACCAAAAAAATTCCACGAAACACTAATTACCAGATTCTCGAGTTCTCCAACAAAATCAGAAATATCGTCTTACATTGTGAATATAAATTTAATTCAATGTCTAAGCTAAACACCGTTTCTCCTCCCTCCAGGATTAGAACGTATGATTAATGTTCCTTGAAATCTTAGCCGCAGTCTGTACGCGACTTCTCCTGGCTTGTCTGGATGTGATCGACTCGGAACCGGAAGCGGTTTTCAGCCAGGAACACTTCGAGGAGTTAAGCTGCACCGAGGTGGAAGAACTGGCGTGTCGAGACACTCTGAGGTTGACCAACGAGTCGATATTGTTCCACGCGTTGGACAGGTGGACCGCGTCCAAGTGCAGAAGAAACGGAGTCGAGCCATCAGCCAGCAACAAGAGATCCGCTCTTTCGGACGATGTCTGGTATAGTGTTCGATATTCTCTTATGACTGATAGAGAGTTCATCGAGGGCCCTATGGCGAGTGGGATCCTATCTAGCGAGGAGTCGGCTTATATCGTTGCTAGAATTTTGGGACACACGGATAATCAGGAAGGAGAGGAGGTATGGTAATTCTTTTTTTATTTAATTTAAGGGTTAGCTCGAGCTATGCCATGAAATATAAAGGCTTTTATGAAAATTAGTGTTGCAGTAGAACTTTCACAATTAAAATTATTATTAAACATTGATGGAACTGTAATATTCATTTGTCTTGAATGTATTGAAAGATAATTAGATAATTAGACAAGAGGATACCAGATGGAAATCTCATTTTTGGCATAGGCCCTCTTTTGCCTTATAGACCCTTCAGTTATAAGTTTTGACAAACATCTTTATAATTTTGAGCAGATCAATGCTTTACACAATATAATTATATTCAACAAAGAATAGTTAATATTTTTTGCACTTACAGTTGTATTTGCTTCCTCTTATGTTCAATTTACTGTTGATTTCCCGCAATTGGATAAGAAGTGTATTGTTCGAAGTGAAAGTAAAGTGTCTTCGCCTTCTTTATCAGGCGTCAGTACTTATCTTATTACTGAAAACGATATCTATAATCACTATCAGATAGTACACCTTTATCTGTCCATGGTTTACTGATTCAACAGTGCGTCCAAATCCCATCTACACCAGATTCATTTATTCAATCGTCTATTTTAGTTTTCGGCTATCTTTTGTATGGTATACTGTCCTAAATGTGGTTTTATTCTAATACTTTCTCATCTCTTTCGTATGATGTGTTGAAGAAAATGAAATGACAATTTTTTCGCATTTCGCGAAATTGAATAAAAACGAAACGCTCGGTTTATCTTCGTGATACATTAACGCGTCTATACACAAGGTGCAACATGACAGTTAGAAAATATAGAATAAACAATAAACTTGAAGATACGAAATTTAGTGGGAGATATGACAGGCGTAGAAGAACGGTAAATAGATTTATATTTTTTACAAATTTTATACAATGATTTTAAAACCCGCAATTAATATTCTTGACACCTAAATACGAGTTTCAGAAATTATTTCTGATTATCATCATTCCGATGAATTATTATCAGATAAAATAACAAATGTATCTAGTATCAAAAATTCAAATTCATCTTAAAGTGTATGTACATACAATAGTTTATATCAATCTACTTGCAAGCTCAAAAACTTTATTGATCGCATCGAAAAATCGATTGATCTTTTGCTAAAATTTCTATATCTTTAATATCTATCTGGAATTGAAATTCGATTAAGAATCGAAAGATAATTATATCTTCTTTATCCACAGATTCGAAGTTCGGTGAATGGACCATTGCTGAGGCTAACCAATAATCCAAGGGTCGATGTGAGAATGTACGAAGATCAAAATTGCAGAATGTCGAAATCAGGAAAGAAAGAGTGCCAGGACAATCGGAAAAACAGAAGAAAAGAATGCGTGAATCAGGGACAGAGGACTTGCGCGAGAATCGGCAACTGTCTCGTGCGAGTTCTCGCCTGTATTTTCGACTGAACGACATTTAGTATGGGACCAAGACGAAGAAGAGTCGAGGAATTCCCCACCGAGAACTAATTTCTTTTCTATCATTTCCCGAGTCTTTGTCACCACATCATTGCGTGAAATTTCTCGCGTCTCGATTTCTTAGAATTTCAGCAGAGTTATATTAATTTAGGTACTAGGGATGAGCCGATATTAACACTCGCCTGCCACACTGCTGAAAAATATCAAAATTTGCCTTATAGATCTCCTTTCGTTTTCATGATGCATTTTTCTTCTTTTATTTTATTTCACAAATAACGGATGCTGTACTGATGGCAAGAAAGCTGAAAGAGGCTGAAATTTAATTATACAACACGTTTGTTAATATCCTTTCTTTTTTTTTTTTTTTTCTAGTTTGTAGAAACTTTTTGAATATGACGTTCCTCTTTGCGAAGAGATATTTTCCTAGAATATAGAGAAATGGATTTTAAACGATTCAGATATTTTTCGATTTTAATTAATCATTTTGAAATGTATTGTTTTCATATTTTTACAGAGATATTTACTTGTTATACATTACCAATTTTTTGATTTTGAAAAAATATTATGATGAGATTTGTTCATCGTTTGAATATTTTTATTGATTATCTGTTGCCTGATTTTTTAAATAAGTATTTACAAATCTTTTAGCAAAGTTTTAAAAATAATCGACATGAAGCCAGAAAAGAAACTTGACTTGGAACTTCTAAAAATGGTTTTGGCAAGCAACATTCGAATGAAGTTGACCAGTTACAAGAAAATTCAAAGAATAACTTGTCGTATTATATAAGTATTGCACCTTGAAATGTGTACCATTTATAGGAACTTAATGATACGATAATATCAAAAATGATATCTTTTAGACTTTGTTGTTTTTAATGCAAAATTCTATACATTTTTTTACGAATAAGTTATCCGAAAATATTTAAAAAGTAATTTAATTTGTAATTCTATTGTAACGAAGACTAAAAATTCCATATTATGTTTGCCATTATTTTTCGTTCTGTTGTGTATTTAATTCATACAAGAAATTTTTCGCAAAAATTCAGTCAGCTTGTTTGGTATTTTTAGTTTTTTATTGTCTACTATTACCTGTACTCTGTTGTGCATTAACGTTATGTTTATTGTGTTCATAATTGCTGTTCAGAATATATAGCGTATAATTATGAGTAAGAGAGTGAAATCATGGCTGGTCCGTGTGAATGTATGACGTTCAATAACGCAAACTTCGTTTTTTTTTTATACCGAATTTTCGAATTATCATGAACAATAACACTGCGATGCACTTTTTTCATGATCGTCATTATTTTCGAGATTTTATACATTCTTCAAATCTCGAACGTCTATGTGAATCATTACGCGATTTAAAATCGACAGCTTCAAATTATTCGTTTATCAACGAATAAATTTTGAGCTTAATTAAAGAAAGAATCGAGTGTTTAATACGTCTGATTTAAATTTAGACACTCGGTCAACTTTTTTTTTTCTTTGCAAAATATCGATTGTTTTTATTCGGAACTTTAATAATAGTAGATTAATTACGAAAGTGAAGTTTCAAATCGGTGTTATAAATCAATCTTCTAATTGATATAATTATTACACCGAGTGCCTATATTTGAACTGTATATAATTGTTAACATCGAATTTTATTAATGAACACGATAACGTGTCGTTGTATCTGACACCAGAAATCATAGTGACATTATTGAAACGATAGTCATCGTTTTCATATTAATTGTCACATTCATTTAACTAGCACCTTTTGCGAGCTAATGTCATAAATAACCGCGTAGGCGTGTTCTATCGTTACCATTATATGTTAGTCATTAAATCTCATGTTGCTATTTGATCGGTTAAATTTTATTCGCCATGACTCGTTGTGCTCAGATTACGTTAAGATCAAATGTTATTCTAACAAGTTACTGAGTCTATTGTGTGTTGATGATTATTTAGAAATCGATTGAATATTGCAACTTGATTACTTGTTTGAATTGATTGCATCAAATCGGTTGTAGAAACAAGTAAATTCATTTCGAGCCATGTTTGTAATTGCTTCTTTGTACGTATGGTATATAAATCAATTCGTTTCGTACGTTTTCCATGTGAACCATTATGTATCTGCGAACCAAAAAAGTATTGGAAACTGAAAAGCTTACAAGTGTAATGATGAACTATAGCGAAAATAAAAATTACATAAAAATCATGCAATTTATTAGTCAAATTGTTCATGAATATGAAATGTAATAAATTTTTCATTTTTTTCCCTTAAAGTTTTTATTTTTTTTTTTAAGCCAAAAAATGCCACGTAAGTGAAATATGAATTAGTCTTTAAAAATGATTTTATTTTAAGTCACATGTAGAATATACACAAATGAAATTTACTGCCAAATTAATTTTATAAACACTCTACTACTAAACAATTATGTCATATTTTTTATTTCATTCATATTATATCTTAGATTTTTGAAATGAGTATAAATTGTATTGTTCATTATTTTAAAAGTTAAATGCGATATATTTATAGCAACATATATTGAGTATGCGATCTTAACCTCGATATAAAATCTTTCGAGATAAAATGGCGATGTACACGCGACGCAGTTTAACGTCAATATTATTTTTACATTCTTTAAATATTTAAGTATTAATAAATTAATAAAGTGGCAATAGGTAACTTTAAAAATTTATTAAAATTCCAGATACTTTGAACGTTATTTAAATAAAGTACTGGGCGTCTTAACACATTTGATGAACTATATGGTACATTATAGGTTATATTTTTGTCTGTATTGCCCATACTTTGACGTTTTTATTTATAAAGCATAAATAAATATAAAAAAACGTTAAAATGCATACAACAGCAGATTTTGTTTTACATGGTGGTAATGCAGCATTTGCAAACAGACAGAAATTGTTGTTTGATAAACTATCAGATGCAGAGCAAGAATGTAATAAGAATAAAATGGTTGTTGAATCTACAGAATCTACAATGGACATTGACAGTGAATCAAATTATTCTCAAATTGTAAAAGCTGGTCGTAAAAGTCAAACGAGAAGATTTCGTGGTAAAGAGAGTATTTTCAAACGGCCAGAAGGTCCAGCACCACGTGCTTTGAGCAGAAATATACCAGATTTTCATAAGAATCCTCATAAATGGAAAAAATATAGTTTAGATGATGTGTCCAATGATGATATGACAGAAGAGAGTAATACAAGGGCTGCATTATCATTTTTGAAGGAATTGAAAGCAAGAAAATCAATGGAAAAAAAACAAGAATCAGAGAAAATGGATGTAGACGAATCTGGTTCTGGAAAAAGGAGTCAAGCAAAAATAATGTTCAAACCCAAGAAACAGAAAATATCTGCTAAAGATGTTGAATTTAAGAAACCAGAAAATAATGTAGATAAAACAGGCAATATGCCAGTTGTTATTGAAACTGATGACAAGCCAGTCTTCAAAAGTAGCAAAATTATCATGCCAGAATATGTTGTTGGCCAGAAGAAGAAGAAAAAAATTAAGAGAGACATTCATCCTGTGAAAGTAGACAGAGCGAAACAACTTAAACTGGATCATCTAGAAGAACCTGATGAAGAGGAAAATTGAAAATTGAGAATTTATCTGATATTACTATTGTAAATGTAACTGCTTTCTAAGTTTTCTGTATAATATGAGTATTTGATATGTTTCACCGATTAATGTATTTTGAATATAGCGGCAATAAATACACTGTACGTCTCTCTTTAGGTATGAAACATCTCGGGTTTTTGTATGATTTGTACTTCTTTTCCCGTGTTACAATAATCGAAATCGATTTTCAATTTTGAAATATTGAAACGATGCCGCTCTGACAGGCTCTTCCGGGAATGGTCCGCGACTGCGCACAACCGCGTGTTATGACTATTTCCTATCGGCTTAGTTGCAAGCTATTCAAAAGTCGTTAGTCAGAGTTGATTGTTTTTGATTTTTCATGCGTATGATGCCGATCAGTGCAAAAAATACAAGCTATTGGACTTTGGTAAGTTACGTAATACATCCTTGAAAGATTACGCGAGATAGAATATTTGCGAGCAATTTATTTGTACAATAGGAGGGGGGAAGAAACCTCATAACCTGTACGCATATTACACCGTCACCGATTCAAAATGGCGTGTTACCAGTGAACGAAAAAACGTAGATAAAATTTGTATTTCGTGGTGCTAAATTCGTCGTTCGTGTTTCTATATGTGGTGAATTTGATATTCTTCGCTAAGGGGGCGAGAATTATAAAAAGATTATGACACAGTTCTCGTGTGTGACATTCTAGGAAATCCGTTAGTATATTCGTAATTGAGGTACGGAATTAATAATGCAGGAAATCGTCCTAGCAGCCTTCTCCGTGATATCGAGTCTTCTCATAGTATTTGGCCTGGTGCTGCTGGGTAAGAACGACAGATAGTAACGTTCCGTTATTGCTGCTCGGTATGCAGACCGTTTCGAAACATTGTTATCTGGCCAGTTGTATAGTCGTATAGTACCAATGTTGAAGGTATAGTAGGAGAGTTTGATTACATACTTAATCTTTTTCATCGCGTGTATGCGCAATCTCGACGGCTATTCTAGGTTTCGTACTGTTAAGATCTATTTTGTTTTGTATCTTTCCCTTATAACATCTACTATCAACGAGCTATACTTGCGTTACATATTATTTATTATGTCAATTATATGCTCATCATGCTACTTATGTATATAGTGTACTTCCTTTCGATATTATGCTGAGAAATAATATTTTAAGGAAATATATATATATTAAAAATACATGTAGTTTCTATGCTTGAAAGAAATTTTAATATAAGATATTTGATTTGAATGGGATCTCTCTTCCTTATAGGCATATTTTGTCTTTTTTTTTTAGGTTGGTATTTAGTTTGGAAGTTTTTCCTTTCAAGGTTCAGGTTTGTTCGAGAACTGTTGGGTGGAATGAGTGAATCTTCGCCTGTAAATGATTTAAAGAATGGTAGATCTCGTATGAAAAAAATTCGCAAAGACTAAGGGAACACGTTTGTACATTTGACGAACAACGCATCAGAAGAAGAAAATTGACCAAAACGAAATTGTCTTTCATTTGTATAACTATATTTTAATTCGTCGAAATGTCTATAAATATACGCTGTGCTACTACAGATGATTTATTGAATATACAGCATTGTAATCTGCAATGTTTACCGGAAAATTATCAAATGAAATATTATTTGTACCATGCTCTTTCTTGGCCACAATTGAGTTATGTGGCAGAAGATGAAAAGGGCAGGATAGTAGGTTATGTCCTTGCTAAAATGGAAGAAGATTGTGAAGATAATCCACATGGACATATTACCAGTTTAGCAGTAAAAAGATCACATAGAAGGCTTGGTATTGCACAGAAGCTTATGAACCAGGCTTCCAGAGCAATGGTTGAATGTTTTGGTGCAAAATATGTTTCTCTGCATGTTCGTAGAAGTAACCGAGCAGCTTTGAATTTATATACAAGCAGTTTGCAATTTGAAGTATCAGAAGTTGAGCCAAAATATTATGCAGATGGAGAAGATGCTTATGCTATGAAACGAGACCTTAGCAGCTTTTATTTGGAAAAAAATGCAACGAAAGAGAAAACAAACAAAGATGGTAATACGCACATACATACTGGCAGATGCTATGATCGTTCATAGTCAGTTAGGGATGTTTACTTATAATTAGCAATTCATTTCGTGCGTCATTAATTCCATGCTATTTGGATTTGAATCACTATTATACATATGAATATGTATTTTTCATAAATAAATTTTGATGAAAAGTGCAGGAAATAATCATGAGTCAAACATGGTTTGAATGTTGACATGTGTATATATGTGTGTGTGTGTGTGTGTGTGTGTGTGTGTATCATTATGAAAATTTTGCAAATAGGATATTTGTGTTCATTCAAGCCTTACCTGAGACATATGAAGCGTTTTATATACCACTAAAAAAGAGGTGTACTTGTTAATAATTATACAGCAAATAGAAGAGAGACTTCTAAACTACTGTATGTACTTCAATGCAAATTGAGTTAAAAAGTTTCTAACAAATGTATCATTGCGTGTAGTTAATTGATATACTATTTAAGACCTATGAATCTTAATATAATAAAGACGATAAGCAGCGGGCGAAAGTTTTGTCACTTTTTACCTGTATATTCAATTCATCTTTATTGAACCATTGAAACTATAATATACAAGTAACGCGCCAGTATACAAAATTATCACCCAGATTTCACCAAGCAAATCAAGTGCAAGATGATGCCAATTTTTCAAAAGAAAACAGTTTCTCAACGCTTACTCGTGGTTTAATCTTTACAATCTGCGTTACGTGAATTATTTTAATTCTCCCTTCTGTTTCTAAATACTTTACGCACTTTCACGAGTATGATGATCCGATGACTTAAAAATTAACCTTGACAATTGCACAATTTTTAAATATTTCGTTCTTTGCTTTGTCACTGCTGCGTCGGTACATTATTGTGTTATACATTGTAATAGGAATAATTATAATATACATATATATGTATATATATAAATATACTTATGTACACATTAAATGTTCTTAAAAGTAACACAATTGATTCAGATTCAGTCAAAGGACATGCTAGTCTGAAAGTCATACACATCAATTAATCTTTGAATTTCGTAATCGATCGATTTATGTAATTAATGCGCGTTTTAAATTTAACACAACGGTAATCAATGAATCATCGATATTTCGGAATTTAATCGGAAGTATTTGCTCCGACGGACAAGTGGACAAGAAACCACTGATAAATTCTTTCGTAATAATCTTTTGAACGTTTCCCGATTGCAAAATGATTTCGAAGTAAAACAATTCGAGATACGATGTACGATCAAACGAAATGACGCTACACAATAAAAAGGCAATTGTATGATGATCTATACGTTCCACTAGTTTTCTTTTCAATTCAAGCGCTATCGAGAATAGAACGAAAATTCATCTCGCTTAATAGCACGTCACGATCAATGAGAATACGATTTTCAACGAGAATGTGACAAGCACCTATTGATATATCGCCTATGTATAAATTCTAAATATACAGTAAACTCTAACTGCCTGAAAAAATGCATTTTATTTTACAAAAGCGCTCCGCCAATAAATTATAATACAAGTCTCGTAAACGAGGTTCATGTTCACGCGATATGCACCGATTATATAATCTCTAAAAAATAAAGTACAAGCTATATCGTGGTAAATATTCTTTTTTTAAATGCCGGATGATCGTCTTTTTTTCTAGTTTTGTCTTCCCCCTCCTCCCCCCCCCTTTTTAACATTTCCACGATTTTCTTTTTCCTCCGTACAAAAGGAGACAGACGAAATGTAAATACTTTGAACGATTACAATCGATTTTGAAGCTGCGTCAGAAATGCGCGGTTGTCGATCATCTCTCGTAATACCGTAAGAAACATGATTCTTTCGCTATCAATCGGAGATAATCAGTTTCACAAGTAAATTAATATTACATCTCGAAAGAAATTCAGCGACATCGAACAGAGTTTTGCTCGTATTTTTCATAAACATTTGTCTCTTAACGAGAGGAGCAGTCCTGCCGATTATAAAAGTTTTTGAAAGCCCTACGCCAGGATGATGTAACGCTAAACGTCTACGAAAAAGTGAACGATTCGATCGTTATGAATATTTTATAATCGGCAGGAGTGTCGGCCGACGACAATCGATAAAATGACCGTGTATATAAGGCGTATCGTTTCGTATTGTTTCCAAGTTATTGTTGTCTTGCGTCGCTCCTGTAAAGGGAGTCCCGCGTTGCAGTCGAATTAGATTATTGGAATGATTGTAAAAACAGTCTACAAATCCGATGCGTTTCCTTTTTTTTTTTT